CGTCCCTCGCTTGGTGAATTCACTGTAGTTGCAGTCCGGCTCTCCACACCTACAGCGCGGGAAAAACCTGGCCACCCAGGAAAAAGCCCATTGCGCAAAGCACCTACAACACCAAAACCAATCAAATGCCACGGCACAACCGCACAAACTCTCTTGGGCGCTACCGGGCACAGGACCACCCTTCGACCGCAAACCAGACTAGCACACAACACAAACCCTCGTGGGTGCTACCGAACGCAGGAACACCTTTCGACTGCAACTCAGATCAGGACATCTGGCAAGTGGGGGTCTCCGAACAGTTAAGCTTTACCCAACCTCAACTGGGTGACGCACCCAAAAAATCAAATGGGCATGCATCGAAACCGAAACAAACGAAACTCTTATCAACAAATACTCAGAAAATGGACATGCATAGTCTAAAAACCGAGACAAGAGACATCAACAATAGTCAAAAACTGTTTGGGTGCGGTAGCTCGTCAGAGGCCAAAAGAGAAAGAAGGTTGACTCAAGACCTTGTTGCTTAGAGAGTGAGAGACATGCGGTAGGCCACACCATCGCCATGCAGCATGTCCGTCAGTACATTCCATCCGCGTACCCCCCGGAGGCCCCGTAGACAGCATACTCTGCCGAGCACCCCAAACACCCCCCTGCTCGGGACGATATACTATCTACGAAATCCCCGACACGACTATCATTGCCAGACAAAACGGCAGACAGAAAAACCAAAACCCCTATGCTAACAATAAATCATCCACCATTCCAATCCAAACGACTCTGCCAAAAGAACATGTCCCACGAAATCGCCGGAAACAGAACACGTCCTGCAAAGCTTTCGAACCTTTTGATATCAAATTTCTACCCCTAAAAGGTCTGTCAAGAAAAACAAATCACCCTCTCGAGAAAAGTGCTCTACCCAATTCTCAAGCAGTCAAAACGCGAACAATCACCCTTGGAAAAATACCCAGCAAAAAGTTCAACATTACATCAGAATCACGTCAGAACGGGGAGGACGGGTTGTTGGTAAACTCGTGGCTTCTGAGGAAAAGATTATTGTTGAGACCTTGGACCAGGAGAACAGGTCAAAAGGTGAAGTGAGCAAGGTTGGGGAGCACCACAGCACCGCAGCACCGCAGCCACCACCCGTGTCCCTCGACCAACGCACAAAAGCAGAACACAATGATATCAGAACACAAAGACTCAACAGACAGGGGCTAACGTACATCACAACGTACCATGAATCCTCTGACTGATGCACTATCCACAAGAAACACACTCAGTTACTCGGGTTAATGCACCATCCATGAAGAACATTCCCACAGAATGTTCCTTGCTGTTCTGATAATATGTCGCAACTCAACGATCTTCAACGCGGACAGTCCCGCAATGCAAACTGTCCAATCAAGTTGTTCTACGTCACTATGTCGACACACACAGCAGCAACTATCACGAACACGGGTAACTCCGGGAAAACGTGTCTTACGCCCTGACTACTCAGAACAAATTCATTCCTCAGGTAAATATTCATGTGTCAACTCAATGGCCAGTTCAAATTATTACAAGAACATGTCAAACCCTCTCTCCGACATCCAATACCTTGACAAAGAAACCACTCCACCAGCCCCCCTGCTGTAACATCCATTCCATCCTGATCATGAAGTCACAATCAAATCAATCAATCGTTCCAACAGCCCCCCTGCTGCATCATTCATCCCGAAAAATCAAAACCAAAACAAACCACCTGCGACTAGGATCATGGAACAATACTTCCCCCCCCATGATTCTCACGCAGAACTATCCCATCCATCGCGAAAGCAGAAATCAACATCGAGCAGCAGATCAAAGGCCAGTACCAGGTCACAAATAAAACACATGATGCAAGAAAGGCCCCATCGCTGAAATAGTGCAACACAAAGAACAAAATCAACGAATATTCATCACGAAGTCACGATG